TGCATTATTTATTTTTTGATAAATTAATATTTTGCGTTTTGATTTATGGTTTACCAAGGTTTTTAGCTGCTAGTAATCATTTAGCAAGCTTAATCACAAGAATCATCACTGTTAAAACTCGGTGCGTTTTAATATGTCTTATCAAATGACAACATAAGCCAACCTATACAGAAGCACAGACAAAGAACAATAGAGCAAAATCCATTGTACCATTTCATATTTTCCCAAGTGCTTCTTCCTCATGGAATTTTCTGGGAAACCCAACCAGGCCATTTCCAAGTGCTTCTTTGTCCTTCTGGCTGGCTGTCCAAAATGGAAATTAGAAAAGGTGAAGCAGATAGTGAGGTACTACAGTTATGGTCCTTAAATGACTTAGTTGCATTGCTTTTTCATCATGTTCCCCACTAACCTTTAGGACAACGCATGAAATACAACAACAGTAGTCAATTCCAAAGAAACAAATCAAACGCAGATTTTTTTTAAAGATAAAACTTGTGGGGAAAGGAAAAAAAAAAAAAAACTTTTCATTGTTGGGTTATTGATTTCAAGATGAAGAAATGAACGATAAGAAATATCAAGGAAGTTCTCTTTAAACCATGGCCCTCAACAATGACTCTGAAACCCAATGAGACCAAAGTTTTTAATTTCAATGCACATGGCCGCAAAGCCAACAGCATTTAGTGGGGGTGGGGGAAAGTTGCTCAAGTTTTTGCAGTTTATTGGTTCTTTGAAATTTAAAATTAGGCCACCTTTCATGGCACTAATGCTCAACCTATTGATTTATTTTTCTCCCTACTTTTCTCTATTTTAAAACATCGTCTCCTCCCTCTCTCCCGAAAAACTATTCTTTCCATACAACTTAAAAATTTGAAGTTATTGGTGTTACATTTTTTTAGGCTTAAATTAACAAATTAAAATTGCTAATGATGACATTTTAATTAATGGCGACCGTTGGTTGGCATTGTGCTGGGATTTCAACGCTAAACAACCAGTTTTCTGCCTCACATTGAGAACTAATTCATGGTATTAATTTGTTTATTATCATGAACAAGACATTGTACCGCTTGTTTTCATACAATGATGATTAATTTTTTTTTTTTTATTTATCATTTGGTTTTGATTGGCTATATATATTGTTGATCGTATTTTAAAATTACAGCCAGTTTGATACTATGCTTCCAAATTTTCAATGACAGCACCTGTTTTCATATTGTAGATTGAGATTTTAAATTTGAACTCTTAGTTCAAATAATTTTTTTTATGGGATTAGATCAAATATAATGAGATGGGAAAATGTTATACCCCATTATAGCCTTCAAATTGATTGAAAAAATTTATTGCCAGCTAGCGAATTCTTCAAATTAATATATACATACATGTATATATATATATATATATTATAGCCTTCAAATTGATTAAAAAAAATTATTGCCAGCTAGCGAATTCTTCAAATTAATATACATACATACATATATATGTATATATATCAATAATTTGTCGTATAAGGAATTAAAAAGAGTTTGGGCGGCATGGAAATTAATGATGCATGATGTAGATTAGTTTGAGGGGTAGGAGAACATGTGCAGATTTTGGCAGATCAGTTAAGAATTTGGATAATCTTAATGAAGTACTGATCATAAAATCACCGCCTGTTCTGCCTTCATTTCATAGTTTTTCATTCATATGCTCTTCTCTACAGCATCTGCCTTAATTAATTACATAAAACACAATTTTTTTCTGCTGTGAATATATATATATATATATAGTTATTGTTAGGTTAAAATGTCTCAATTCAATTAAATCAGTAGAAGCATAATTAATCAGTCAATTAATCACATAAAAAATAATAATTTAATATATTTCAATTCAATCGATTTACGTTCATGAATGAAAAATAAAATTCATTAATTGTTGATAATTACAAACATACAAATTATATCAGCTTCATTCAATAATTAATACTCATAGATCATTTCAATCTCTTTTAGTTTTACGAAGTTTTTCAACTCAAACAAATACATATCCTTGTGAACCATGCATCATATCTATATAGACCCTCTCAATCTCTTATAGTTCACTTAAATGCATCATATCTATGTAAATTTTTTCAATCTCTTTTAATCCACTCAAACATACATATCCATAAGAACGTTAAATCTTCAGTAATCTTATAAAATGTCTATCCCATAAAATTTTATAACTCTCTTACATATTTTTTCAAATCTAATTATAAAGAAGGATACTAACTTACCTATAAAAAATTTATTTTCTTTTAAAAATTTTTTTTTACAAATTAAACTTACCAATTAAAATTTTTTTCTTTTAAAATTCTTCTTCTATAAATTTTTTTATTCATCAAATAATATTTAACTAATTTTAAATAAATCTTTAATGTAATTTATTTTCAATAATTATAACCAAATATTAAGTTACAAAGCAGCAGCTCCGTGGCTTGTGACTTCACCCAGTCAAATGGGGCGCGTGGAAATTACAAAATTAGTATCACATTTCAATAACCATTTTCTCAAATAAAACAAATGACTAAGTTCAAAAAAAAAAAAAAAAAACTCTTCCGTCGTCACCATCCCAATCATAACAAATAAGACGTCAATTGGGAAACAGCAGGCTGGAGACTAGATTTTAAATAAACCCAAATTACGAGTCAAAAATTGTGTATAAAAGAATATTTCAAGGTCAGTACAAATCATAATATCACCTATGTAGATATATATTTTTTTATTTAGACAACTTTTACTGTTCCTTTGTTCAACAGAATCAACACGAAAATATTTTTTTTATGTTCACCATTATTGTAGAGTTTCGTTATATTATACAAAAATATCATTTCATCCGTTAATAAAATATTAAAATTTTAATTTTTAATACTTGAAAAAAAGTTTTATTATTAAAATAGGACACTCACCTCAAGGCAAGGTCCCTAACTGATTTGAGGAGGCCAGTCAATGAACAACGTCATGGACTCCATCTTTTGTGTTCAACAATTAACATCGGCATCCCTAACCTTACATAATCCATCATTTTTGAACAGTCAAAATGAAGACATTAATTTCGTAAGCTTCCCAACTTGACATCGACATGGGAACCAAAAAAAAAGAAAAAGAAAAATTAAGTTCATTTTGAGCCTAATTTAAATGTGTTTAACATGAATGCTAAGTGCTGCAACCACACGTTGGAGGAGGAGCCCACATGTTTTGAAGAAAGTGGAGTTCCCAAAATCTATTATGAAGAAAGTAAAGGCAAATTACGAAACCTTTTTCTTTACATTACAAGTATGAAGGAAAAAAAATTATATGGGGTGTAATAATTAATAATGAAAACTTGAATTGTTTATTTGATATTGTTTGATTAATTTGACTCGTTAAAGTTATCGTTTATCACATTTTTAACATAACAATATATGTATTTGCTAATCTGTCACAAGTGAATTTTAATTTGAAGACAAATTATAGTAGAAAATTGAAATAATTGGCCTAAACGTGATTTGATGAGCATTTGTATGTATTTTGGACCTAGTAATATGTGTGCGTTGTTTTGCTATTAAAGCGGGAGAAGAGAAACAGTACAAAAGAAAATTAATCGAGTATTTGGCAAGAACAAAATTCATGCTATGATAATGGCCAAAAAAATTTTGTATATGCTATGATAAGCTTTTAAGATTGGGATTTTATTTCATCTAACATACTATTAAAAAAATATGTGTTATCCTATTAATTTTAATTGTAAAATTTAACGATTTTATCCCATCTGTGAAGTTTAACAAATTTTTCAAATGAAAATAACTTTTCTTCATCAATTGTATATATAAAACCAATTTTTATTCAAAGTCGCAAAAAAACTTCAGCTCATAAACCCATTTGCCTAAAATTAAATATTATTTGTTCAAATTATTAATTCTTAAAATTTGGTGAAACAGAAAAACCGATTTAAGGAAAGTGTTGTAGTAAAATTCCACCCTAACTATTTAATAAAAAGTATATTTTTATAATTAATCAAAATTTAAAATTTAATTCAATTATTTTATATAATTATTATTAAAAAATGATATTCAATGAATTTAAATTTTAAATCTTAGTATTTATAATTTTTTTTCCTAAACTATAACTTTTTAATAAAAAATAGAGATGTAAAACGTAAATTTTCTTTTATTGTTTTTTTACACGCAGATCATGGAATAGAGCCTCACCAGTCACCACCTGAGTAGGCACATGATCATTGATCCAAGGCTCTTCATCAAATAGGTATATATGAAGTTGATTGATGTAAAATAAATCTGAATTTCTTCAATCAATTTTAGTTTACAAGATGCAGCCTTTTCATTGATTTTAAAATCAATAGATTTTTTGATTAATTAGAAGGAAAGTAATGTTTAAAGTAGTGTAGAAAAGACCAAATTTTAATTTATCAATGAAACCGCGTCAGCTGATGCATCAAATCACCCAACCCACGGCTTTCACACTTAAGTTTGACTTGGGACTCTTTGCCTTTCAGGAAAACGAAGGTTTAAGGAAACATGGACAGCACTTGGACCCAGGCGTCGATATCTAATTCTAATCGAATTAATAGCCAATCATTTTCATTAGGACTAAGTTTCATCTTTTCCTTTTACTTTCGTTTTTGGGCTAAAAACACGAACAAAACAAGGGTAATAGTGGGTTAATGAACCAAATAAAAGGTCAAAATAACAACGGGAGCGGCGTCGTAAGAGGATGGGGTTCAAACATATATCAGAAAAAAGTGGAGGAATATGCCGGTGGGCATTCGGAATATATTGGGATTGTTGGTCAGACCTCTCTTCTATAAATGCTCTTGCGTTGCATGACCTTTCACTTCATTGTATACCATCTTCTATTTTATCCCAAATCTTTCTGTTTCTCTACTTTTTAAGATATTATTTTTATTTTTATTTCTATTTCACTCTCTTTCACTTTATTTTCTTCGAGAAACAGACGCGACGTTTTAAGAAAACAGGTCAGCTTCAGAAACTTCCGCTTACAGGCTTTACTCTCTCTCTCTCTCTCTTCATGATTCTATAGATGTTGTTTTCGTTCTTTTGTCTCATATTCTTTTAGCCATATTATTGTTTCTTTCAGGTTTTCTTAAAATGGGTATAATAAAATTTCTTAATGCATGCAAATGGGATTGCTTTTTTGTTAATGACGACAATGAACACCTTTTTATACATCTGGGTTTTCCCTTTTTGTTTTTTTTTTGGCTTAGAATATCTATATAATTTCGTTCTTTTTTTTTTTTCTGATTCTATTTGTCAAACTTGAGATACCCTCGTTTATTATCAGGGTCTTGATTTATTTTTCACTGTTATTCATCCTCCAGAGCTCCAAAGCTCTGGGATTGTGTAAATCATGCAAACAGAATGCTACTAGAGACGACTGTTCTTGAAAGTTGAAACTGATCGTCCTGGTTGGTTCTGATGCAACTTGCTACAGAAATAAATTCCCTGACTAACGAAGGAAAATCAAATCATCAATGATCGCTTTGATTTGTTTATGGATAAGTTCAAATTACTATAAAGTATTCAAATATTGTCCTTGATTCGTGAATCTGTCTGCAACTCTCCACATAGTATCATGTTGCTTTTAAAATGTATTTATATGTTCTTGGATTTTCCTTTTCAATTTAATTATAATAAAAGTTTCACGTTGACCGTAAAAAAGAAAAGGCTTTTCAGTATATTTATCTTTGTGTACTATCAAGGTATTATGATCCTAGTTGGAAACTGATGGATTGTTCTGTTTCCATATGACATTTTCAATTATGGTATATACGTCAATAGTGAAGCAATTCTATATCTTGCCAATTTTAGACTTCGTAAGAATGAAAATAAAAGGTACTGAGTATGTTTTCGCTTCTCTGCTTTTGGTGAAGAGTCAGACTTTGAAGGGTTAAAAATAGAAATTAGTTACTGTCAGTCTGCCACTCTCTCCTTTTGCTCACCAGAATTTTTCTTAATTCAAAGATCTGTACCCTCTTCATAGGAACCGTTTTAACAGTCTGTTTAGAATAGTATTCCACGAATATTCACCATAATTTTTATGCTCACTTCGTCTTTTTTCTTACTTTAACCAACTTTCCATGCATTTTAACATATATAGGAGGAAACATTTACTTCCATTTAATCTTCTTGGGAAAGAGGTGTGGTCTCTCTTGTTAATTTTGGTGGGGGCCGGGGAGGGTTATCAGTATGGATATGGCTAAGGCGGTGACGTGGATTGTTTCTGCAGTTTGGACTTTCTGGACTGCTCCTTTGTCCTTTTCACTGCTTAATTTCTTCCCCCCCCCTCCCCTTTTATAGTTTTGGTTGACTTTCTAGAGCCGTATTCTTAAATCACAATTCCCATTAAACAGATATCCATCACCATCTGTTTGATTAATTTGCATTTGGTTTATGTATAGGGTGATTAACCTTTGGAGTTTGTAAAAGCTGGTTAGACAAGGAGGAGCCGTTGGACTAATTATCGTTTTTCTTGACTTGAAGAAACTTGTTCACAGTTCACCAACTGTAGAGAAAAACAGCAACCATTCGATCATCTAACATAATCGAATAAGTGGATTACAAGTTTTCCGGAACATAGTCGTGAATCATGAATGTTATATTTGTCTTCTTCATCGTCATGCATGGTCCTAATTAAATTAGTTAAGAAAACAATTTTGCTGCCTCTGCACGAAACAAAGGTGCTCTCTTGTTATATTATTTTTGTCTATGTTTTAGTGACCCCAATTAGTTTGGTCGTCAAACTATGAAGCTAATATGGTACAGTAATTGTAACCAATTATTGCTTGCATTACCATAATCCACTTGGCTAAGAAAGGTCAAAAAAGAGCTTTGAAGTCGGAGAAGGAACTGATATTGATTCTTATTTATAGGTATGCTCTTTGATTTGTTTGGCCCGTGTCTATCTTTGCAGAGGAAGAGAGAGCAGATAAAAAAGCTTGCAAGTGAGCTAGGTAGCTATGGCAGGAGGACAATTAGAGGTGCTTAACGCGCTTGATTTAGCCAAAACACAATGGTATCATTTCACAGCAATCATCATCGCTGGGATGGGCTTCTTCACTGATGCATATGATCTCTTCTGCATATCTCTTGTTACCAAATTGCTTGGTCGCATATACTATCATGTTGATGGTGCAGAGAAGCCTGGAACTTTGCCTCCCAATGTATCAGCTGCAGTTAATGGTGTAGCGTTCTGTGGAACACTTGCAGGCCAGCTCTTCTTTGGTTGGCTTGGTGATAAGCTAGGCCGAAAGAAGGTATATGGTATGACTTTAATGCTCATGGTCATATGCTCTATTGCATCAGGTCTCTCTTTTGGCCATTCCCCTAAATCTATCATGGCGACCCTTTGCTTCTTCCGCTTTTGGCTTGGTTTTGGCATTGGTGGTGATTATCCACTTTCTGCCACCATCATGTCTGAATATGCCAACAAGAAGACTCGCGGAGCGTTCATTGCTGCAGTGTTTGCAATGCAAGGTTTTGGAATTTTAGCAGGTGGTATTTTTGCAATTATTCTATCCTCAGCATTCAAGGCCAGGTTTGATGCTCCACCTTATGAGGTTGATGCACTTGGCTCCACGGTTCCACAAGCAGACTATGTTTGGCGTATTATTTTGATGGTTGGAGCACTCCCAGCCGCTCTTACCTACTACTGGAGGATGAAGATGCCTGAAACTGCTCGTTACACTGCCCTTGTTGCTAAGAATGCAAAGCAGGCTGCATCTGATATGTCAAAGGTCCTGCAGATGGACATTGAGGCAGAGCCACAAAAGATTGAGCAATTAGAACAGGAGAAATCCAAATTTGGTTTGTTCTCCAAGGAGTTTGCTAAACGTCATGGACTTCACTTGCTAGGAACAACAACCACTTGGTTCTTGCTTGACATTGCATTCTACAGCCAAAATTTGTTCCAAAAGGATATCTTTAGCGCGGTGGGCTGGATTCCTCCTGCAAAGACCATGAATGCCCTCGAGGAAGTTTTCAGAATTGCAAGAGCACAAACACTAATTGCTCTTTGCAGCACTGTTCCAGGCTACTGGTTCACAGTGGCTTTGATTGATAAGATGGGAAGATTTGCCATCCAATTAATGGGCTTCTTTTTCATGACAGTGTTCATGTTTGCGCTGGCTATCCCTTACGACCACTGGACACATAAGGACAACCGAATTGGCTTTGTTATTATGTACTCATTAACTTTCTTCTTTGCAAATTTTGGACCTAACGCCACCACATTTGTCGTACCAGCTGAGATTTTCCCAGCAAGGTTGAGGTCCACTTGCCATGGTATATCAGCTGCATCAGGAAAGCTTGGTGCCATAGTTGGTGCATTTGGGTTCTTGTATTTGGCTCAGAATAAGGATAAGGCCAAGGCAGATGCAGGGTACCCTGCAGGTATTGGGGTGAAGAATTCACTTCTTGTGTTAGGTGCAGTCAATGCCTTGGGCTTCATGTTCACTTTCTTGGTGCCAGAATCAAAAGGAAAATCTTTAGAAGAGATGTCAGGTGAGAACGAAGATAATGGAGCAGAGGGAGAGGCCTACTAACTACAGGACAGTTCCACTTGCATAAGTTGGACTAATAAACCAGTTCCTGAGCACCAAGTAGAACCGTTGTAAAACTCTCAATAGGCAATAGAAGTTTCTGATGTCAGATTTCAATTTCACTGTTGTTCTTTGAGTTTTACCTTATTCCAATATCCTCAGTTCTGTTCTGTACCTTAAAATTGAAGGGTATAATAGAGAATTCAGTGGTTGCCTTGTTCCATTTATCAACAAATTTCCTGTGGCTTGTGAACAGCCAGCCATCTAAATTGAACCGAGAAGTCAGGTTCAGATTAATCTTGGCTCTTTTGCGTATTCGTTTACTTAACAGTTATTGCTTGTGGCGCTTTTTCAAAGTCATTTATAGTGCGTAGTGGAGGTGGAGGATAAAGTGTTGTCAAACTCAATAAGTCGTATTTGAATGCCGGTTTCTGCATTTTCTACAGCCAGATTTGTAAAATAATGGTTGGGTGCTCAGTTACATCCACAAGTCGTTTCCAAAACTTTGACTTCTATCTTAAAATCTTGTCAAGGACGAGTACTGAGGGGGCACTTAGCTTTCCTAGGCTCACTTTCAAGACTTTACAGTGTACGACTCGATTATTGCTTCCTTTGTTTCAAAGTTGATTGCTCAATTTAGCGCCATGCTTTGATTCTTGGTGCACTCGGCTTTGGACTTTAACACCATGCTTGATTCTTGGACTTGGTTTGCTTTGACACTTTTCATTCAATTTGCGCAATGCTACGTCATTACAGCTAAAGAAATTGATTGAGACAAACGATAGGCGCAATTTACACAACGCAGCACGTCAGATCGAAGCACGTGTTATCATCTTCCTGGAATGGGTTGCCTTGATGTACTCAAGATCAAGAGATTTTTACTTGAAACATGTTCCTTAATCATTTTTGAACTATGAAAAAATACCTCTTCAATATTTTAATATTTCAAAATCAAAAGTTTTCACTATTCTATTTAAAGGCGGTAAATAATGCATTTTTAATTAAATCTATGATTAATATTTATTTTAATTTTTTTATATTTTAATTAATTTTATTTATTTTTATATTTAATTTAAAATCATTAAATTTTAAACATAAATATTCACCTTAGCATAGGATCGAACTTCCACCGATTTTGATTTTGAAGTAATGGAGATCTTTTCCCGCAAATGGGACCCTACATTTTCTCTCTAATTTCAAATACCGGAACAGAAAATGCATTGGACAGGGAAACAAAGAGAATAATTCTTAAACATACCAATATATGTGAAAATTGTTTGACAGTTTCCAAATACCGGTGACAGACTTCCTTTGTTGAGCGGAAAAAAAAACAGTAAAGAACCAGATTTAACAGCAACCAGATAATTTTAGCCCAGAGCTTCATATCACCTTCATCAGATACTGGTTATTCAAGAATTACACATACTAATTTTTGTCAGAAATTGATTCTGAACGTAGCTTTAGGAAGCAAGGACTAATCCAGAGTTGGCAAAGCGGAGAAGGTAACTCCTCAAATGAAACAGTTAAATTACAGAACGTTCAGTGAGCACGATCCCTCAACACTTCAAGATCCATCTCTGTAGGGTCAGTAGCCTGAATCTCATAGTGGATGCCATCCAGTTCTCTTCTAAGCCTGTCTTTAGAAGTGGCATAGAGCATCTTCGCACGGATTCGAGAGGATGAAGGGGACCTGATCAATAAAACCAAATTGTTAATTAAGAAGATTTGATGAGCAACTTCTTTAACCTGATAAATGCCAGGCTAGTGCCATTGCTACATGAGAACAATATTAATGATGTCCATTTTTTATCCCTAGTGAATCCCAAGTTTCGAAAGAGTAACCTTCTTGCCTATAAAGTAAAAAACTAAGACTGCAAAATAAGATGTCCAGTTATGGTTGCGTAAGTCTATCAAGCAAAACACGGAGCAAATACTGGTATTTTATCTCCCGCAGCTGCATTCCTTCATTAATGCTGCCATGGAAAGCATACAGGCAGCCCCTATTGTTCCTTTATTTCCTTTCTAGCTGCAGGGCAATTAAATCCATATAAAACTTTAATTGTTCTTTAATTTGCATAAACGACCAAAAAGGGTACCATACTGACAAATGCACACTCAAAAACAATGTATCCAAATACTCTGAAGCGTAACCTGCATGAAGGTAATAAATAATACAGCAATACACCCAAGAGCATTTAAAAAGGAATGCTAACAAATATGGTTATAATTTTCTCTCAATTTAAGTTACTAATGTACCAAACAACTAATAGGTGTACTACATCTTCAAGGAGGTCCAAAGCCAACATATTATATTGATGTTAATATGACATAAACAATTGAAATTTGTCGCTTGAGATGTATAGCTAGATAAGATATCAAGTTAAGGACCTGTCCAATAACAAGTAATCGCTCCTATCAAATATGTTAAATTGCAATATAAAGACAGTTAAAGGCAAAAAAAATAACCATGCAATGAAGAAAATCTGGCTCTTTTGACAATTTTCAGAAGTAACAAAATCAAAGTCATATACAGCATATCAGCAATCGTTCTCAGGCAGAGATGCAGTGAAGTCATCATAGCTCTCAGCAGGGCCACCAGTTTTTTCAACCACAACCTCCTTTTTCTTCTCATCGATCCTAAATATCACATAGCGGTAAACTTTCTTCCTTTTCAGTTCCAAAAAATTATCCTTGGTATGATCAGCAACGCCCATGCCAGATGTAGCATTTGGCTGGAAACAGAAGCAGATTGTCATACATTTATTTGATTGATAACGTTTAATTTTCATATTGTTCAAAAGGATGATAACAAATGGATTGAAATGCTCATTAGTTTCAGAGATTAAATATCTTGAATAAGCAATCATGTGCTAAACTCATAAGCCGCGAGGCTGAAAAATGTGACATAATCGAGAATTTTGAGGAAACCTAAGAACATATAGAACATGCAATGGAAGAAACTCAAGTTGAAAGATGCAATAACAACCTCTTTGGCCCCTAAGAATATCTAAGATACCAATCCAAAGTCATATATCAATTACTTAAACAGTCAAGCTGATTCTTCAAAAGGGAAAAAAAGGCCTTTTCCTGAGCTATTTTTTTCCTCCACATCAAATCATTTCTAACACCAAGACCAAAGGGTAATGTTTTCTTATGAACAAGAAGTTAAAATGAAAGCCTTTTAGTTAGCAGTTCACATTATTGTTTAGAACAGAAATGAGCCTAAGAACTAGCAAAGTAAACATTTTAGAAGAAATTTAACAATAAAAAGATGAACCCATGCATGAAACTCAAAGAAAGGAAAACAGGAGAAAGAGAGATACCCGACTGATTCCTCTAAACGACATGGCAGCAGAAAGTAGTTTAGAATAAAAAAAAATGAGAAAAATGGAAGTGAAGAGCAGCCCTGGTTATGAAAGAAAAATAGAAAAGAAAAGTGGGGCGGTGCCTAGGGTTAACGCTTGCAATTTGCACGACGAAACCGACACCCAAGCAGGGAATATCCAAAAAAGTCGCCTCTTTTAATCTCAAGCTTTCCATTTTTGACCTTCAGCAAATCTCAGCCGTCCATGGGGCCCCCCTTTGATCGTCATCATCAATTCAAGTTCTTCTTCTTCTTCTGGTAGCCGCGTATCCATTTTTTTATTAAAAAAACTATTTCCAAAGCCAACCGGACCCAATAACCTAACTCAGTCCAGTCCGGCCCAAATATGTTTGGAATATGGGTCCACCCTAGAGCCTACAAATGGCGCAATTCTGTTGGCTAGAAGATCTAGTCGTACTGACAAACTAATGTAGACAATTCGGACCTTTTGAAAACGAGGGCTTTTTCTTTAACTTTCAAATTTCAGAAACCAAAGGGATCCGATCCGAATCCGACAAAACCTTTCATAATCAAGATTTGGGAGTATCTCTACTTAGGTTTTAGGGTTCTAAATTATCTCAAATTTTTCGCGCGAAAATATGGATCACGATGGTAGCCATTACGATCACATTTTTTTTCAATCGATTTGGAATTTCTATTGCCTTTTTTTTTTTATTTATTAAAGATGAATTGATATCTTTGCTTTTAGGTCAAAGAGGATCATCAACCCCGTCAGCGATGCTTGCTTCTTTACTTAGTAGAAGAGCCAAGCTTCAAGAAGAGCTTCGAAACATCGAAAGACAGGTAGTTTCATCCTTTTTCTCTCTTTTCCTCCCAATTTTATTCAAATCAGGTTATATTTTACATTCCTATTTCTGGTTTTGAATATTAGTGGAAAGTTAAATGCAGGTGTATGATATGGAGACAAGTTATTTACAGGATCCAAGCCAATGCGGCAACGTTTTGAAAGGTTTTGAGGGATTCCTCTCTTCATCTAAGAACACTGCCCTGTATGGATGCCTGTTTTAACATTTTCCCTTCATTTTTATTCTTTATTCATCTGCCTATGTGATGTTAAAGTTTTCATTATCTTTGTTTAGGATTTATTAAGCCAAAAAAACATTATCTGAGACTATAGAGTCTGTTAGATGTATAGCTTCAGGGCTCTGCGGCTTTGCTAAGTCTTAATTTTTTTTTTTAAGTTCTATTCCCCAAGTCATAGTGTGACATTCCTTAAGAACGATTCAATTCGATTCAATTCAATGCAATGCAAACTTGTCTTAGGGGCTTGTATATTATATATGACCCATTATTGAACTTGAGTTGCAGCTTGAAGCGGTCCAGGAAGTTCCAGCCTGAGGATAGGCTATTCTCATTATCTTCGGTCACTTCTCCTGCAGTTTGTATTCTTCTTAATTAAGTTGCCCTCTGTTTTCCTCTTCTTCTTTTCTTCTTTGCTCGCATATCGATTTCTTGTCCATGTCAAATGAAGTATGAGATTGGTTTCTCCAAATGCTGGCACAGAACCAAATTTGCTTCAAGATGTGTCTTGCTACAACCAAAGCTTAGGGCTATAGGCAATGCCGAATTTGCATTCTTTATTTAGAGTTGCATGTGAATTATAAGCACATGTGACCATTAATAGGATGAAGATGTTAGATTATGAATGAGATGGCATTTGCTTCTTATCTATCACATTTTTTCTAATTGTATACTTTGGTTGGGAGGAGGGTTGTTTGTGTTTCTTTTTTTGTCCTCATTTCACTATATCATTTTGCATTCAATTGCATACTCAGAGACACATTGAGTGACAACCATTCTATTATCCACAGAGAAGCTCATGAACTGAATGCAACTTTATGCAAGCAGCATGTTGCTATTGCTGGAAATAAAAGCACCAAAATTGCATGTCCTTGCAGGCCAAAGTCTTTCTCACACTCCTCAATTATACACATTGCAATTAATGTATTGCTGCCCATTCTACAGAAAATCCTGCTAAATGTTTCCAAACTGGATGGTTGATTTAAAACCATCATCAACATAAAGATCCTGTTGCACTTCCAAACATGGCGTCATTTTATTTAAAGAGTGCTGGATATTCTAATTACTATGACTACCTATATTTGGGAATAACTCTTCCTGGATTTCATGAAAGATGATATTTTCAGTAAAATAGTTGTTTTGTGTTTTGTGTTTTGTGTTTACTGCAGCTAATTTTTATTAACTTTAAAATAGTTGGATGGAGAAAAAAGAATGGAGTCTACAACTTGTTTTCTCTCAGAATTTTGTTCACTAGGAGGTTTCTCCAACTGATTTTTCTTCTGCTATTGTTTATTTTGTCAGGCTGAAGAGATTGCTACTGGTAGAGATGGTGAGCCTATAATATGAAGGTGCATCAACAAATTTCCTTTCTTGATGCTTATTGTTTGTGATTCCTTTGTGTTTAGCAGATGGGAAATCAGATTATGGTCCTGGTCGGTCTAAGGGAGGAGGTTACTTTGCCAATGGGCAGTAAGTGCGTTAATTTTGTATTCGTTCGGAATATTAATTTGTGAAAATTCACCTTGGTCTGATGCTTGAAAACAATAACTGAGCATGATATAGTCTTGCAAATGCTTTAAAACTCTAAACTCCAACTATATATAACTTATATGTCTGTATTCTTTGCAGAGGAAAACCAAAGAAGGGAAGAGCTAGAGAAGCGAAGAGAATGAGACACTCTAGTGAGCCAGACTATGATGATGATCCTGATGTGACATTATGAAACCACTTTGATCTGATGAAATATTTGGCTTTTCCTTAGAGCTTTAATGTCCAATCTTATATTGTTTATGTCTAAAAACAACCGGTGATGGCAGAGGTTATTTACTACATGATTTTCAAGTGTATATAGGAAAAAAAAACACTTTTTTATTTTTCATGGTGCTCAAAATTGAATCAAGGGTACATATGGCCACTGTGTTGAATGGCAGCGTAAATGAACCTGTACAGTCTAAAATTTCTGGGCTTAGTTTCTTAAATCACAATTTCTCAGCTTGACCATAATCCCTGATGGGCTCGCAAATCCACTTTGCTTGTCGTAACCCACAGCTAGTTAGCCATGAGGGTCAAAGCAACGGCTGACCCTTAGCCGAGCTGGGAAACGCAAGACAATTAAACGACGACGTTCCCACAAATTATAAAAAAATGAACTCTTCGTGGAAACGGTAAAAGCTCCCTCTTTGGATTTCTCCGTCCTTACTTTCTCCGATTCCAACGTCGTGAGTGTCTTATCCTCCCACCGCTCTACGAAATCGAATTCTCGTTTCGCTCCAAATGAACTTGCTGGTATCATTTCAAACTTATCTTCTCCAAGAATTAATATGAAATTTCTTTTCTTTGCTTTTCTTTTGGCTTTTGGTTTTGAAAAACGAATAAAACAGGAGAAGCTGAAGATGCCAAGGAAGGAACCGGGTAAAGAGAAAGCACCCAAAGTCGAAGTTCCGGTTTGCTGGCTCGAAACATCTGATTCCGTCACTCGCCGTTACGAATTTGTACACGACGGCTACCTCTCCGTGAGTATATCTTAAACTTAAATTTGCCATTCAGAAAATTTTACATATAGTTTGGTCGGCGAATTTAAGCTGTTTTTGCTTTTTCAAAGTGTAATGGTATGGTGTTACTTGCAAATACTTCTTTTGGGTATTTCATGAATTTCCTTTCCTTTCTTTTGGTGTAGGTGAAGGTGGTTAATGATTCAAGACCGGTCTACCATAGGGTAGTTGAACCTTTCCTGAACAAGTTCTTTCCCTCGGGATATCCATATAGGTACAATTCTTTATTTCTACTTGTTTACTTGTTGAATTTATGAGATTGGAACTAGCCTGAGAGTTTGTAATTATTACTTGTTGGTGTTTCATGTGAACAGTGTGAATGAGGGTTACCTTAGATGCACACAATTTCGGGCATTGCAACACTTGTCCAGTGCAGCATTATCCGTTTTATCAAGTCAGGTCCCTTCTCATACCTAGAAGGATTCTCCAAATCCTAGTAACAGTAGCATATAGATGTTGCCTAAAATTTATTTTACAAAAAAAAAAATGAGGTAGGGGAAAAGGGGCTGTCTATTTTCAAATGTGAAAATATTTAGTTGATCTTTTGGAATATGACTATCAGCGTAAATATGAGGTCATTGTCATTTCCATACATTCTCACTCCTTTGCAGTCACTTTTATTTGCTGCAGGCTTGCGACCTACCCCTGCACAGGCAACTGCAGTTGGTTGGGTAAGCTTTTATTTTAGTTGAAGAATTCATACTGAATATGTGATCCAAACCGCACTTTTTGGTAAGAAACTTTCCGTTTGTTTTGTTGATGAGCAGATATTGAAGGATGGAATGCAGCATATGGGAAAGCTCATATGTAGTAATTTGGGTGCAAGAATGAACTCAGAACCAAAACGTCGGAGAATTTTGGGTTTGTATTCTTATTGCAGTTTTTGCTGAATGTCAACTACTCTTCACTTGATACTACCTATGTCATGTTGAGTGTTTTCAATGAAGAAGCCTTTAATATTGCAGCTGATGTGCTCTATGATCTGGTTACGGGTTTGGAAGTTCTTTCACCTTTATGTCCTCACCTTTTTCTTGAAGTAGCAGGGCTCGGTAATTTTGCAAAGGCATAACTTTTGTGATTAATTTGCTTTCCCGAAGACCCACATCCATTACTTTCACTTCAAAAATTTGCCTTTTTGGTTTAGTTTAAGAACATTTTAGAGTTGCATGCTAAATACTACTCTTTCGCCAATTGGTACTTCTTTGTTGAATTTTACTTCTCTATTTGAAAGGAATGGCAGTGGTTGCTGCAAGGGCGACTAGATTACCAATATGTTCTTCAGTTGCCAAAGAAGGGAATCTTAGTGACCTATTTGCAAAAGGAGAGGCTATATCAACACTTTGCAATGTTGTTGGTATAGGAGTTGGGATGCAGTTTGCATCTACTCTTTGTTCATCAATGCAAGGGAAGGTATTAAGATTGTGATGACTCTCTGATTTTAGTCATTTATTATAGTTATGCTATTGATGCAAGAGAAGGCACAGCAATGTTAGGACTTGCATGCTAATCCTTTCTGCTCTTTATCATCTCAAGCTTTTTACTTTACATGTGTGTGTCATTTCCTGGCAATTTGGATTGCTGATAATGAATAAGAAATTGCAGTTGGTTGTTGGGCCTTTTCTTTCCTTCATACGTGTGTATAGTGTCGATGAAGAAATGCGAGCTGCACCAGTCAATACATTGAATCCTCAGAGAACTGCCATGATTGTGACTGATTTTCTAAAGGTTTGTTTTGAATGGTTTGAACCCAGTACTTTACATGCCTGCCAAGGTTTTTCATCTGTTTGATTTTTCAATTGTACTCGACTCAAGACAGGAAAGGTATCTAGTCCTGCAGATCTCAGATACCGAGAAGATCTGCTATTTCCTGGACGACTAATTGAAGATGCTGGGAATGTGAAAATAGGAAGGGCTTTGCACAAGGTTGTCAAGCCTTCAAAACTTCAGGAATGGAAAGAAATATTCCCTGAAGAGAAGTTTGTTTTGAGTCATGGAAATAAATGGACTGACATGTTGTTAGAGCATAATGCTACAGGAGAAGATGCACTAAGAGGTTGGCTATTTGCTGCATATGCTGCAAGCATGGAGAATTCCTTCCATGAGCCAAGTGTTAGTGTCATGGACTTAAGGAAGAGTTTTGAATCTCATATCAGATATAAAGGAAGGTCACTGGGGTACATAAGGGTTCACATCACCTTTGTTTTATGAGGTGTCTTTTGTGGGACAAAACCGTGAGATCAGAGCGGCCAGAGCGGACAATACCTCACAAGGGTGTGAACTATGACAAGTAAATTGATTTGAGACGTCGGATGAGTGGATATCCAGGTCATGGAGCGCGCGGGTCTTGAGCTTTAAGTTTCGGTCCATGACAAGTAGTATCAGAGACAACTCTAAACCGTTCGATCCATACCAAGCGCCTCGAGAGAAGTAGGAAGGATGGCTAGCCTTCGTGATGAGGGCGTCACGAGGCTGGGTGAGGAAAAATGTCACGGACTTAAGGAGAAGTTTTGAATCTCATATCAGATATAAAAAGAAGCTCATTGGGATATATAAGGGTTCACACCACCTTTGTCTTATGAGACGTCTTTTGTGAGACAAACTTGTGAGGTCAAAGGGGTTAAAGTGGATAATATCTCACAAGGGTGTGAACCGTGACAAGTAGGTTGATTTGGGACATCGGATGAGTGGATGCTTGGATCCTAGAGTTGCGCAGGTCTGAAACTTGAGTCTCGGCTAGGTTGATTTGGGACATCGGATGAGTGGATGCTTGGATCCTAGAGTTGCGCAGGTTTGAAACTTGAGTCTCGGCCCATGACATTAGTGTCTTGCAAGATGCTTACAACAAGATGAACAGTATGTTCACTCCATTTCTGTGTGAGCTGCAGGCCAAAGGTTGGCATACTGATCGTTTTCTTGATGGAACGGGAAGCCGTTTTGTATTTTGATATTTCATAGTTCACTCGATATTCTACTCCTAGACAACAGATATTCATTGTTGAAACTGAGCTGTAAAAGAGATTGTATTTGTTTTTAGAGGTAGTGATGTGCCCGTAATTTGAATATAGGCTGTACTTGCACTAACTTGCATTTGAATTTTTGGAATGAAAAACATCAGTAAAATCATCAATGTTTGTTGTTTCTGAGGATTGATAATAAATATTTTACTTTTTAATAATAATTTGCATGCAGTGCAAATATTTTAATAATAAAGATTATCATTTTAAATATTTAATGTATTTTTAAGTATCTTAATATTAAATATTATTATTAAAATATTACTATTTTAAAACATTTATATTAAAATTTTAAATTTTTTAATATTTCAATAATTTAATAATGAATATTTTAATATTTAATAATTATGCCAATATTATTATTTTAAAAAAATAACAGCAAAATGATATAAATATTTTTCATTGAATCATTTAAACAATAAAAAATTTCTTCTTTTTTAAAATGTCAATATCTTTTAGAATTCAATTTGCATAAAATAAAGGGGGCCTAAATTTCATACTGCTAATTAGATTTTTTTTTCTAATTTTATTTTGTAACTGAAATTTCGAGGAATTGAATTTAATCATTATAACTCCGGACGTTTCTTCATTACCATCGTATTCAAATCTCATTCTGTCAAATAAAGTGAACTTTTTAAGTTGCAAAGTTTACTACAACTTGATTTCTCACCCGGTTAATTTTAGAGTTACTTTTCCTGCTGAGTTTGGGTGCAAAGTCAGATCATGCATGCATTGGAGCAGCAGCAGCCTCTAATTCCCCTGACTAATAAAACCTCAAAAATGGATTTTGTTTAGCAAACAGCATTCAAAAATCAACCAATCCTTTTCGTAAGAGTAGGATTCCATTTCATGTTTTTCACGTAGCCAACCCAACCCAGTAATCCACAATTTTTCTTTGTTTGTTTTCCTGCCCATCAATCTTTCTTCAAATGCAAGATAAGCAGCAGGTTTCAGGATTTAGAAGAACAATCTGCCATTCAAAATTTTTGATGGGATAGAAAAGCTTTGTCCAATGAACAAAAATTAAATCGCCACAAATACTTCTGTCCTTGGTTTTTTTTTTTTTTCTCCTTAATCTGCGAGACTGTGACCAGAAAAACTCAGCGCTGCACAAAGCCTGTGCAACTTAATGTCTTTGCTGGAGGGTGTTGAACTGAGAATGTGACGCTTTCGTGGCTTGTTAGCTAGCTGTCAATATGCAAAGCAATAGAAGAGGAACTTAAATTGGATAATCTAATCTACATATGTAATTAACGACATAAAAAATGTTGAAGGTTTGGCCCTAATTCATTCAGACCAAACCATAAGGAAGGACACACAACAGTTTGTCTTTTTTTTTTTTTAATAAAAGAGACCGTGATCTGAGAGTAATAAAAAAAATTATATGTGCTGAGATTTGCTTCAATTTATTAAATATAATCTTTTAAATATAATCGAAAGCTAAAGCCACAACAAATATTGGAAAGCCCCAAATTATTGGATTTGGGTAAACCTGATTAATACGTGAGCGATCGAGATACAGCTGAGGGCCTGAGTGCTGAAGCAGTGGGAAAATGAGAGAGTACCGAATCTCTTTCATGTCTGCCCGCCTGCAAAAAGTCACGTTTAACTTTAATATCTCAAGTTTAGTTCAATTTATTTTAGAGTTTATATTTCCTGTTTCTGCTGTGTCAATGTCACTACTCCAAGTGCTTGTAACAACCACGGAATTCATGAGCACAAAAGTCGCAGTCTTACACCTTTACCTTTGACTACAATCCTGTCCTCCTCTCCGCTTCAATGTCTACCACAAACGTACGTATTAAACTTAACAGGATTTCAACTATGCCGGTTGCTGAGAAGTAGTCATAAACAACTCATTTCTCAACATCTTCTCTCGGTTCACACACTTTTTTGAACAATTAAATAATTGAAAAAAATTATTTATTTATTTCTGATTTTACGCTTTAATGCAAGCATACCGACCATGACTATAATTTCTGGTAATAATGAAAACGATGGGATAATCGGAAAATTCGCGATTCCATTTTAGGCAAAGGCCAAAAGGTGTTTTTGCTCGTCTATGATGATATATACCGAATTTTCAAAGGGAGACACGTTAGACAAAAAAGATGTGACCCAAAGGAAGCCTAAATCTACGCCTTCAAGTCCACTTAACATTGCCTGGTGCTAACCACGACCATTGCCACTGGACACTTCAAATTTTTCATCCAACCTAAATGATGTTGCAGCCATCCCCACAATTAGCAGCAAGGCTGCACATATACCCTCACCCTTTTTATTTTTTATTTTTAATTTTTGCATTCTTTTGTTTTTACATATTTTTAAAGTGCAAATTGCAAAATAAAACCATTAAGACTTTAATTTTATTTATAATTAAAACAATAAACTTGTCATGATAGTTATCATAATTATTTTGAGACCGTTAGACATAAAAAAGTTTTAAAATCGAGAAAAATAAAAGGAAAGAGTCGCCATCAATCTTTGTTAGGGTATGATTGGCTACCCAAAAGTGTATCATTTTAATAAAACTATAAAAACGGGTTTAAAGTTTATCAGATTGGATCCGGGAGTCGATTACGTGTGGAGAAGATTATTACCCTCACAACACCCATAAATTAGTACCATTTAATTACGCGCTATTTTCAATGTTGGATAAAAATGATTTTAATTTGAAATTTAACACTAATTCCCTTCATTTGAAAAAATAAAATTTTGATGAAATTTTTATTTAAAAATATTGAGAAAATTTTTAAGTTAAAGAATTATCTTAAAATTCTCCAACATATAGGCAAAATTTAAAATAACTCTTTTCACTTAAGATTTAACACAACAATCCTTAAAATGAAATAACATTCTTTATAAAAAATTGTTGGTAACTCTCCAACATCTAGGCAGAGTACCAATAATTATTTTCTTCGGAATGTTTTTTTTTATTTTGTAATATCACACATTTTTTAAAAAAAGTATTATTCTTTTTTTTATTATAAAATATTTTATCACCAAGTATTAAATAAAAATTAAAGACAGAATAGTACAAATAATTACTGATAATAACATGCTAATGTATATATGCCAATGAATGTTATGTAGGATGAAATGCAATTTAAAAATTGAATTCTTAAGTATAATGAGACCACCCCGACTCTCCAACATTTAAGCAAAGCTTAGGTGTGACTATTTATATTTAAGATCCCAATTTACTATTATACTTTTTATTTATTAATCTTATTATTAATGCGAATTAAGAAATCGTGAGAAAAGATTTAACGAAGTAAAATTTTCTAAATACCCCATCATCTAGGCGGCATTCGGGAACAAATTACTTCAAATGAAATTTTCATACGTATCCTTAGAATTTTTAGGATGTTTTGAGTAAGGACTTGAGTAAAGGTTTTAAAGATTAAGGTTTCAAGATTTTGAATATTCGAATTTTAAAGGTTTGGATTTAAGTTTTGAGGGTTTTAGGGTTCGGTTTTAAGGTATGAAAGGTTTAAGATTTTGATTTTAGAGTTTGAGGATTTTGGGGTTTTGATTTTAAAATTTGAGGTTTGAGGTTTTGATTTAAGTGTTTGAATTTTAGGGGTTTGGATTTAAGAGTTTAAAGGTTTGAAATTTTGGATTTTATGGGGTTTAGGATTTTTAGGGGTTTTAGAAACTTAAGATTTTGAAAATTAAAAATTAGTGTTTAAGGTTTCGTTTTTAAGAAAATACGAACATCTCTAAAAATCTTCCAACATCTAGGCGGATTTTCGAAGTAAGTTTGATTTTAATGATTTTTGAAAATTAATTAAAATTTTTTTATTTTTTTTATGAAAATTTATTAATAATAATTCTTCAACATTTAAGCTGAATTATTTCTTTAAAAAAATATTTTTTATTCTCTCCAACATCTAGGCAGAGAAAATAATAATAATAATTATTATTATTATTTTTGAGCATTTTTAATATATATTTTTAATTATTACTTATTTTTAATTTTATTATTATTAAAATAATTAAATATTTATTCTAACAAATCTAGAAATTTATCATGCATAAATATATAAAAATACTTAAAATAACAAAAATAATAATATATATAAAAAAATTAGAAAATAAAAAAAAAATTTTACCTAAATCGGACCGGTCAACGACGGTTCAGTTGGACTGAAAAGGGGTCGGTTCGACGCGGTTCGATTGAGTGGTCTACAGTTCGGTCCGGTTCAAACCAGTTCAATTGGACCGATTAGTAGCTGTTGGAAGAGCGGATCCACGGGTCAGATTGCGCGGATCCCAGGTCAGATTCGGGTCAACACTCGGATCCTCTTTGACCGAAACCACGTCGTTTTGCTCCTTAATCTTTTATATATAATTGAAAAAAAAATTTTGTTCATTCTTTTTGTTTTTCAAAAAAAAAAAAGGGGGGAGAAAGCTTTGGGGAAAGCTCGTCCTCTGGTCATCGGACCACCGCAACGGCCACCACCTAGGTCACCGCCGACAGGGTTGTCGGTGGTCGCAGGTGGTCGAAAAATTTCAATAATACTCCAAGAAGCGCTCTTCAACGCGCTTTTCCTGGATCTGAAGTCCGTTTTACCAAAAACAACCTCGATCAGCGTAGATCAGGACTCAAAGTTTCTGTTTTTTTCTTTTTTTTTTGTTGAAGCAAGACTTACGTGATTTTTTTGCTTTTGTAGGTAGCTTTGGCGTTGGGTTCTTCCCTACAGGGAAGACTGTTTGTCTCTTTTTTCTTATTTCTGTTTTTGTGTTTCTATTTTCTTGGTTGGTGTGGGTTAAAGGGTTTTTTTTTTTTTGTGTCTGGGTGTTCGAGAGGGTGTTGTGGGCAGTGTGTCTAGAAGTGAAGAACTGTCTGAAGGTTTTCGAGAGGGGATCTTTGAGAGAGCTTTCGAAAATGGGGGTTCGAGAGAGCTAAGGGGAAGAAGTTTGGGGTTTTTAAGGAGCTTCAAATAGGAGAATAGATGGTAGTCGTAGGCGTGGTAGGGTGGCTGTTTAGACAGGGGGTTGGTCAGAGGACTGTAGGGTGGCTGATCCAGGGCGGCAGCAGCGCCAACCACCTTACTTTCTGTTATTCTCTTTTTTTATTTTTTTATTTTTTTTGTTTTTTATATAATTA